CACATACTGTATTTATAAGGTAAAATTCACCCAAAATGTAATTTCTGTCGTTATGACATATTCTAGATTTTTTACTACCAAGAAGACAGTCGCCCACCAATGATGTCTATTTTAGTGAACAGAACCTGCATAGGCTGTGAATAACAGGTAATAAAGTTGTAAATAACAATCAATTTGTTGGACAGAGCGATCATTTGGGAGCCACATGGGAAGTATGATTTGCATGTATGCTTTTTTTCTCTCAAAGTGATGGCAGCTATGATATGAATGCACTTGGCATCAAAAGTAAAACCGAAAGTGCGAACATCATTTAAATTATGTCGCATTTTTAGTTTATTATGACAAGCGTTTTTTTTTTTTCATAGCGAAAACAGTGTTGTGCATGAGAATAAATGTTTAATGGTGTCATTATAACTACTTTAGCCTATATGATGTATAATGCAAGAGGGAATCCGATAAAAAAAAAAGTTTCAGTTTGCCAGTGAAAACAATGGTGATCAAAAATAGTGATTCCGATGTAATCACTACTGTGAATTAACAACCAGGACATGTTTAAAGTTTATTTAAGTCTACCATTCAAAGTCTATACAAAATGTAGCATTTTAACCAACAGTAGACCTTCACATAGGCCTAATATTATTATTGTTGTTTTACCATGCGTAAGAATTCAAATGAACTGTTGTTATTATCTGCATTCATACATTATTATTTTAATGATTTGCAATAATTTGTCTAACATATCTCTTGTTTACATTGCACTAAATGCCCCGTACAACTCTCACCACTACAGTTAAAGATCATTTCTACCATGTGCGCCTGCAGGGCACGAGTGCGTCGGTCCGCTTGCGAGCCGTGCGTGCAACACTCCCAATATGCGCACTTCTCCATTGGAAATAATGAACTTGCGTGTGGAAAAGATGCAATATGTCAACGGCTTGCTGCTATAGTTAATCCAGTGTGTGTGCTTATTGGCATAACTTTGTTTTGTTACAGCAGCTTTTTTCCATGCAACAGAAATGCGGCGTTGAGAAGCCTTTAATGTATAAAATCCGGGTTAATAGTGAAATTGGCTAATCATTGCATCCTATTAACAATATCAGTGCATTATACAAAATGCATTTTCTACAATCATATATAAATGTTTTAGGCTGCTCGTGCCACTTGCTTAATGTCAGGTGACTAACTCTCTGCGCAGTCTTTAACTTCAGCTCGTGCTGTATTGAACAGTCATGTCACTTCTTATCTACATTATAGCGACTGTTTTTTGACTGAACAAAATTTTTTTTGATGTCTTAGTCACACAAATTGGAGGGCCGGAAAAAAAATTCCGGGTTCGGCCTGCGGGCCGCCAATTGAATAGCCCTGATATAAATCATACTTATTTAAAAACAAGCCTAATTTAAAATGGGGATTGTTGGTTAACTGTCGGGAAGAATATTCCGTTTTAGATCAGTTCATAAGCTGCAACCAAAGAAATAATTAGTCAATCAAACACCTGTCATCAAGTAGAACTACTGCAAGTAAAGGGGGTTTTCGGTAGTTTCCTCCAGGCTTTGTCTCCACCTTGTTCCCCGCAGCCATGTCAATGTAATTAAGAAGAGTTTTTATTTTTGGTAGCCTGATTAGCGCAGCTGAAGAACCTGTGGAGAAAGCCTGCAGGGTGAACACAATCCCGCAGCACTCTGACCTCTGCTCTGACTGTATCCCACTCTTTCACTCATCATCCATGCTGTGGGACAGAAAGCACACTGATTGACAGGTCATTCTCTGAGGCCTTCTCCAAAAGCAGACGGACTGTGCCAAAATACATTACTTCAGCACCACAGGGAAACAGAGAGGAAAAACACACGACGTGAGGGGGTGGGACACAGAGAGACAGAGAGATCTGGAGAGGTGATAATGGTTTAGAGCTGATTTTTTAAACATACATTGTCCTTCGGCAGAAACAGCAGCTGGTCTAGATCTCAATGAGACATACATTTAGAGGACAGACACTCAAACACTCAAACACTCAAGCACACACACACACACACACAAACACACACAAACACACACAAACACACACAAACACACACACACACACACACACACACACACACACACACACACACACACACACACACGCGCACACACACACACACACACACATACTTGTACTAAGCAAATGTTTCTTGATGCCCTGTTTATTATTTATATTAGTAATAAACTCAGACGAAATAAGATTATATTTCTAAACTCACAACATATTACTCCATGTAACTGGCAAAATGCTATAATTTTTAGATGAATACCATTGCATCCAGTCTCTGTGTTGGCTAATACAAGTGAATAGTGTACTGTATATTGGGAGCATCAATGACAATAATTCATGATATTCATGATGGTAATAGATATGTTTTGCACTGAGAGACAGGAAAAAAGTATCTTTGGACGAGAAGTACTATCTTTTTTAACAAAATAGGTGTATTGCACATCACTCCACATCAACATCACACAAATAAACGCATCCAGATATTTAAGTAGCTGAGTAAAAAGAAGACAGACATGCTTCAAACATGAAGACAATAGATGCATAATTGAGGCAATATATGTTTTATCCATCTTCTTTGAGCCATTACTCATCAATTTTTTTAAGTTTAAAGAATATGTCTGATGGAATGTTAATCGGCATAGCCTTTAACACTGTATTATAAAATAGTATGGTTTCTTCCTCATGGTGTGATACAAAACCATATCTGAAAGTTAGACTGCATCTGTAAACATGTGCTGCTGTAGTACTTTCATTTATTGCACAGACTGATTTTTACCACACTGTACAGCCCTGACCCATCGTTATTATCATGGGTAGACAAGTTCTTATCGCAGAAGAATTTTTACTAGCGTATTGCAAATGATAAGATATCGCCCATCCCTACCGACTAACATTTCCACTGCAATTTTAAACTATATTATCTTCTATCTAATAAATAAGCTTTTTGAGACAACAGAATTTTAGTTACAAATCGATTTGAAAAAAAAAAAAACTAACACAAAACTAATAGATTGTTAAAACATTATTAATTATTAAAGTGATTTGGCCAAGAGCATTAAAAGATTTAATCTTTGGCTTTTTTTTTTTTACATTAAACATAAAGACACTAGTTAGTAGGGTTTACTTTAAGACAATGCATGGGTCTACTTTAATGATACACATCTGAGTTCTGTTAATGTTCACTTAAGACATAAACAACAGTTTCTTAGGGTACTCGACAAGAAAGTTATACTGGAATAAGTCTTAGACAAAGGTTAATTGCAATTAATCGCATGCAAAATAAAAGTTTGTTTTGACAGAATATATGTGTGCGTGTTATATATATTTATTATGTATATGTGAAACACATAGGAAATAAACTACATTTTTTGTCACATACATATTTTAAATTTACTTATAATTTTGAATATATAAGATAATTGTGTCATATACATATATATTTTATATTTTAATATAAATAAACATGTTCTCAAACATATGCATGCATGTATTTATATATAAATAATAAACAGACACAATACACACACGATAAATTTTATCGAAACAAACTTTTATTTTAAATGCCACTAATCATGATTAATTTGTAAAGCGCTAATCTGGAATATGCTTATGTGTTCGTACAATCAAGAGCGAGAAGTCAGAGAAGACTAATTTAATGTGTCTGTGTTAGGGATGCAACAATTATAGATGTTATTTGTACAATTATAGTCCTGGTTTCATGTTATCACAATTATTATGCATTCATAAATTTTAAAACACTACTAGTTTAGAAAAAACTATGAAAACTGTTGTTTATTGCTGCTCAGTAGGCTTGGGCGGTAATCCGGTAATATGGTATATGCGGGATCTAAAAATAGCAACTGTGTCAGTCTCAATACCGTTATACCATCATAAAAAACAATGCACTTAAATAGGAGACTATAAATATTTAAATATTAAATATCCTTTATTTAATGCCTACAAATATGTATGCGTGATTGTCATTATGGGACAGTGTGGAGGAGAGAGAGAGAGAGGGAGGGAGAGGTGAGGTGGCAAATTAATAATTTCTTACTTCTTTTACCAATATCGCTTTTCTGGACACTCAAAGCACTTTACAGTATTTTGGGGAAAATCCCGAAGCGACGCCAGCTATACTGTGCCAGACCGCACACCACACACTAGCTGAATGGTGGAGAGGAGACAGTGATGAATCCAATTATGATATAGGATGGTTAAGAGGCCATGATGGACAAATTTGGTCAGGATTCTGGGGTTAAATGCTTACTCTTTTTTTAAAGGACATCCTGGGATTTCTAACGACTACAGAAAGTCAGGACCTCGGTTTAACGTCTCATCTGAAAGACGGCACTTAATGAGCAGTATAGTGTGCCCATCAATATACTAGGGTGTTAGGACCCAGAGCGCAGGTTGAGGGCCACTGCTAGTTTCACTAACACAAATTCTGGCAACAACCGAGCTTTCCTATGCGGTCTCCCATCCAGGTACTGACCGGGTACAGCAATGCTTAGATTCAGTGAGCGATCGTGTGAGAGTTGCAGAGATCTAGCTGTTGGCATGTGAACGGCCCTTAGTCAATAGCCTCAGCCACAGTCATCCAGTGTGCATGTGTATTAGCCTCGGTGTACAAGTTTGAAACATTAAACTAGCGCACAGTTGGCATAACTTTGTTAAGTTGCAGCAGTTTTGTTCCATGCAGAAACGCTGTATTGAGAATTTTTACGATTAATTAACCATAACAAATTAAAGTGTGGTCAATAGTGAAACTGGTTAATTGTTGTTTCCCAGGTCTGTGTAGGGATAGCTTGGTAGTAGGGATCAGAAAATAGCTTGTTTAGTTTTCTTCTCTTGATGGAAAAATTGTTTAATTATCATTAACATTAACATAAATAATTATCATTAAAATCAACAATTGTGTATACTGAATTATGTTTGTTTGAGATGGAGGAGAGAAAAAAGAGATGCTTACAAAGACTGCAGGGCATTAAGATTCTTGAGAGCTGCGCTGGGGACAGTCTTCAACTGATTGTTCTGAAGCATCCTGAAAAATAAGTACAAAAACTACCATTATATTCTGGGTTTACCTGAATGATACATCTATCTGACATCATAGCACAACAGAACAGAAAAACACTTCTCTCCCATATTTCTCCACAAATCATGAGCTCAGACAGCTCTATTCATGTATATGAATGTATGTGTGTGTCTTGCTCTGAGCTAATCACGGTGCATATCTTGCTTCCTCTATACTATCAGCTCTCTGGCGTCACTCAAATGGCACAGGCCACGAGGACAGCTTTTCCCACTCAGTGCCAGGCCGCAACACACACACACAACGGCACAGAGCCCAGTCAGGAGGCGTTCAAACACACATGACCACAGTAAATAGAAATATTGCAGAATCATCTACGGCTCCAATGACTTTGGCTTTTGGTCCAAGCGATAAGTTTCCCTTACACATTCCCAATTCCCCGCAGCAGTGTCTGGACGAGCACCATAGGGCTTTGAAGCAGCCCAGGACGAAGACAGGAAGAGGAAAAATGAGCTTTATGTAAAGCGTGGCTGAGGGGACCAGGTGGCTGATAAGCAGCATTTGAATTGGCTCCCAAACACCTGAAAGGCCAAATATAAGTTGCGGCAAAGAGGGCGAGAGAAGGGGGAGAACGCATCACGATGAAAGGTACTCCATCAGACACTGACAGACTTGCTGATCCGGTAGCAGTGAAATTCTTGTTAGTTACACAACGCCACTTAACAACTCAACAAAACACACAGCAGGATCTACTGCGCTCTCACTGTGCTGCACAACATCTCGCCGGGTGAACGAGTAAGCCTGGATCAAATAGAGGTGTGTGTGTGTGTGTGAGAGAGAGAAATACTTACAGGACTTTAAGCTGATGGAGGCCAGACAGAGCCTCTGGGTGGATGAAAGCAAGGTCATTACCAGCCAAACGTCTGTGGGGAAAAGAGAGAGAAAAGATACTTTATTTTAGCTGGACAGCAAAAAAATGTCAGATATTCTGATGGGATAATAGAGAAAGGGTGTCAAAGGGTGTGAGAGTGAAGTTATGAGTGGGAAGGAGAACAGAAAGAGTTATTATATATCAAAGGATAGCTTTGACTCTAAACTAGGCTGGATACGTTGTTGTAAAATGGTGACGAACTTAAATATAAATAACCCATTATATAGCTTAAATCACAAACTTTTTCTTGTAAAATAAGCCTATACATTTAATATAATAATAATAATAATAATAATAATAATAATAAAAAAAATAATAATAGTAATAACAATACATTTTATTTATAGTGCGCTTTTTTCAGACCCAAATCGCTACAAGGCATACAAGACAAACAGTAACAAAGCAAAACTATGAAAAAACAGTAAAAGCACCACAACAAGACAATAAAATATGAAAAATAAAATTGAATGATTAAATTGACAAAAATAAGTTAAAAGCAACAGAAAAAGGTGAGTCTTGAGATGTTTCTTAAAACAGTCATGTGAAGCGGCATTCCTGATGCTGATAGGTAGACCACTCCATAGCTTAGGCGCACTGTACCAACAAGCTCTACCAATCGCGGTCTTTAGTTTACAGTGCGGCTGGTACAGCATAAGTCCAGATGCTGAATGAAAACTGGAATGGCGAGAGTTAAACGACAGTGTCATTTGTACATATACTAATGATATCAAGAAAATATACTGTGCAGTTTATAAGTAAATTAAGTCATGTAAAAACATTACTTTAACCTAATTTACATTAAGTTTCATTTATTTTTAAATGTTTATAGACTGGATAAAAATATCAGTCAATATTTCAGCATGTCATAATATATGCAAGTGCTATGCCAAGTCCCAATTAATCTAACACAGTATACATAACATAAAATAAATAAAAATAAACACTAAATAGAACGTGCTGGTAGAAACAGGTAATTTTTTTTAAATAAAAATGTGTAATCAGTCACAAACCTTCATTTGTAAGTGATTTGCCCAATAAGAATTATTTTATATAACAATAACAAACTTCATATTACAAAAGAAATAAAAAGAAATTATATTAAATTATTTTTATAAACATATACAGACTAGAAATGTTTATCTAATTAGTACTTTACAATATTACTGTTTTATTAGAATTTAAAGCTCTCATGAAATTAAAATCAAGTTTTTTAGACGTTAGAATCAGTATTGTTAGTTTTTAAGACATCGATAAGGTAGTGTGCTCCAAAACAGTGACAAAATTTGTGTTCAGAAAACTGTTGTAAAGCTTATAGTTTGTCCCTTAAGCCTAAATGGATTAACGGTTTTAGTCACGTCACCTCAAACTTCAGTTTCTAATTAAATTATAACTAATGAAATGCTTTCTAGTATCTGACATGCCCCGCCCCCTTCAAGACACTTCTCATTTGCTGTTCATTTGTTGAGCTTGAGCTCAACCGCTCTCACTGGCAGAGCGTTGATGAGACGAAATGCTACAGGCATTTGGGGAGGAGCTACACTATGTCCCACCCTCTAATCGTGTTTCAGTTGAGATTACGTTAAACATTGAATAAAAATATGCATTTCAAAGCACTTCACAGGACTTTTAACAGACAGACTTGCCGAACGATACTTTTATATGCTATTTTTATACAATTTAAACACACACACACACACACACACACACTATTTTCTTGAAATAATGAAGTTTACAGAACTTTCCAGTTCACCTAAGAGACATTGCCTAGAGCATGTCTATATTGGTAACAAGAACCAAGCTGTGCATCACTTAGCAAAGGGTCAACTTTTATGTGGCTTGTCAACCATAAACAAACTTTAGGTTCAGTGTGGGAGTGCAATACATACAGCAGTGCATATCTGCGGTGCTGACAGCGGTGTGTCTGATAACTGCTGCTCTCGCCTGAAGTGCTAACTTGTTTTCTGTTGGCAAAATCCTCTAGAGACTCTCTGTCTGATTGGACAGCACAAATACTTTAGATGTGTTAGAATGTGATGGCTGAAATGAATGTGATGTGAAGCAGATGAGCCCTGATTGTTCAAATATGTTTAGGACTGAACAACACTCATTTTGACACCTTCTATTCAGAGAGAATTAAGTCTACATTTGATATGCTGTGGAAAACAATGCACACAGGTTGAGCTTTATTTAAAAATACAAATATGTAATTTTGCGTATGGGTTTTTCCCGTGCTGTATGTAGGGTGACTAGTTTGCGAGTCTGCTTGTGTGTGGCAAGGCGGGCAGACGGTGCACATAACTTCACCAAATCAGGCCCGAGAGATTAACACCAGATTTATCACCCACTGAAACTGGAGTCAAAGAACTCTCTCACACTCTCCTAACTCTCTTATCATCTCCCTCTCTATCTGTCAGGAGCAGAAATAGTCCACAGTGTTTCAGAAAAAAAGAAAGTCTTCTATTTGCCCCTCTTATTACAGGAAATGCTGGACTGTACACATTTATCTAGATGTTTACAGCATCAGGATGTGTCAACTGGCCCTTGGTGGCCCTTAGATGAATGTGTGAAATAAATGGCATGGAGAATGTAACATACAAATAAAATAGATGCACTGAGATCCCATCAACGCAATAAAAGCGATCCCTATCACCACTAAAGCAATAATTGTTTATAAGAAAAGCAACATTGAGAAATAAAATACTAATATAGAAGGTTACTTGCAATGGTCCAAAGAAATGTGATGCCTTAAATCCTCCTGATGAAGCCAAATCCTATTCCTGTCTGCTACCTTCGATATCAAAACAAAATTAAATCCAAACATAAGGCTGGACAATATGGCTCAAATGTATATCACAATATATTTCTAAATTTCGCTCGTTCCAATATAATTCTAATATCACTATATTATTTAAAAAGCATCAGAAAGACTGCTAAAAGCTCCTATTATGTCTATACAAAGACTCAAAAACAATTGAATGAATTAAAACATCAGGAAGAGTAGACCCTTCCTATTAGAGCATGCTGTTTTACTGCTTGTCCAAGCTCTGTCCAGGTTGGACTATTGCAATGCTCTCTTGGCTGTCCTCCCAACCAACACAATCATGCCTCTGTAGTTGATTAATAATGCAATGACAGTGGTCTTTAATGAACTGAAAAGAGTGCATGTTACACCTTTATTTATCAGTTCACACTAACTGCCAATCGCCACTCGCATCAAATTCAAGACGCTGTCATTTGCCTCCAAAAGGCTCTGCACCCATTTACTTAAGCCCACTACTTTAACCTTATGTGCTACTGTACATTGCTTAGTATCACCCTAATGGGGCACAAAATCAGTCAAAAGGACGTTCACTTGCAAACAGTGTCTGGCCATTTTTAAGAAACATCTGAAAATGCATTGGTTTCATGCAATTGTCCGACAATAGCACTACCTATTTATTTGCACCAGACACTTTCTTACAAGCATCCCGTGTTTCTGAGAAAACATTGTGCAATTCTGAGTGTGCTTCGTGTATGGTGAGTGGGCCTAACAAACCACCTGTAGAAGACACTTTTTGCTCTCCATTAGTACCAGACACAGGACCTATGCTGGGAACAAACAAGCACTTGTCATCAAACTGACTAGAATTTAACAACAAATTTGAAAAGAGGAGGAAAAGTGCCCCAGCAGGTTGACAGCAAGAAGCCTAAGACTGAAACTGAAGATAAAGAATTCATAAGGACTGATAACCAGCTGGTCAATTGAATTTAAACAACCTTGTACACACTTTATATTACAATATGAGGATTAGGGCTGCACCATATTGTACATTACTTACATTGCAACATTTTCTTTTTCAGTGACATGAAAATTTTACCAAACGACTTAAATACATGGAAAATTGTGAAGGCTATATTTGAATATTTATATTTTAGAATGATTGGGTGATTTTGTGGGAAAGTGCGTCTGCTTAAAATGGAATAAACTGCAAGCATGGCTAAATACAATAGCAGAAATATACAAATGTTAATGCTGAAACAATATATTCCAAAGCTTTAATCTGTAACAAGTATTATCAGAGAATTCCACAAAAATAAAACAAGCCAACAATGTGAACTTGAGTACAATGAACACTGACAAGTATGTAAATGGATTTCAAGGGTCATCTGTCAACTGAGCAAAAGCCATTGAGATGAAAAACTGGAGAAAAAAAAAAGGATGCTGGACTCTTTCTACTGTCATCCTTCTCTCCACCACACCCTTCTAATACCAAAGTATATATGTAAGTCTAGGGGTAATTATCTTATGGCATGGTGTCTCTGTTATTCACCTGAGAACCTGGAGACAGAGAAACAGAGACAGAAAGCAGAGGAGAGAGAAAAACAACAAGAGACGCTGGATAATACAGCTGAAATCATGACAGCAAGGACATGACAGGGGTGGCTTATCAGTCCGCATGATCATAGGGGTTCAGCTTTTAAGTGTTGAAATATTGCCACACACAAAGCGTGGAAGTAGAGAAAAAAAAAACACAGATAGAAAACCCAGCAAGAATACTACACTGTTAAAAAATCTGTTCACACTTTCTGAATTTCATGATTCACAAGTGTTTTCCGTTTATTTATGGTTGTGAATTGCAGTATGCTACCTTGTTCTCTACTCTGTTGACTTTTGATGTTGAAAATTCAACTCTACAGTTTAACAAAGTCACTTTTATTGACATTTTAGTAGTTTGGAATTATATAATGTATAATCTTTTAATAGAGAGAAAAAAAAGTCTGTAAAATTACAGAAAATATAGTGGCAGTTTATTACAAAGATTTTGAACTGTAATATACAACACCGACCCAGACAATGCATCACTTTAAACTAGGGCTTCATGGTATTGGAAAAAAACTGACATTGCGATATTTCGTTTTTACTGTAAAATATATTAATACATGAATATAATTTCACAAGATGACTGTTTGAAAAAAAAATTATATTGATTGGGATGATTTTGTAGGGGATTG